AGGAAAAAAAATAAATCCCAGTGTTCAAATCCTTTTAAAATTGATTTTTTTTTCTTTCCCTTTTTGTTCGAGCTGGTAGACAGGTTAAGTTTTAGGATAATTTAAGTTACCATGATTCTTCATGTCAAATTATAGCCAGATACCACAGTTAAAAAAAAAAAAAACATACTGAGTGTTAATTTAGAACCCTGCCCTTACCATTTATAAGTATGAAAATGGTATACTTTTAGGTCCATTTTCATACTTATAAAAATGGTAAGGGCAGGGAGTCCTAAGTTTGTTATGGATTTAGCATCACTGTTCTAATAAGCAAATCTGAACTCTCCCTGGCTTTGTACAAAATTAACTGTTGCATATATCATCCGCCCATCCCAGTGATTATGGATTACCTTGCACACAGTAGCAAATTGTTGGTTATTTCCTGCTGCAATTACGAGAAAGCCGTCCTTGGTTTTAAAAGCCTAAAATAAATAAATACATACATAAATATATGTTTATATGTTGACAAGACCACAAAAGTTGGCTTTAATTTCTAAAACATCAATACAGAAAGCTCTTTCTAAAGCTACATTTTTAATTAATTTGATATCAACTAATTAGTATTTTTTCGCTTTTACTTGCATAGTGTTTTCATTTAGAATTTTCAAAGCACTTCCTAGCTCTTCTACTAACTGTTATAACATAGAAAAGAAAAAGAAAAAAAAGGTGACTGAGAAAAATAAAGAAGATACTGGAGTTTCATTATAACTCATTTCATGAAATTCTGTATACATTACAGAATGGATTAATGTTAAATTTTTCAAAGTTTTCTGTTTTGTTATTTTCCATTTTTCCTCATAGGGCAAATAACATTGTATGGCAAAATGGATTGTTTTCTACAAAGTTTTAAAGAAATACATGAGGAAAATAAGGAACAAAGGAGGAAGGGAGGGAGGAGAGGGATGAGGAAGTCAGAAAGGAAGGAAGGGCGAGTGAGCTGATGGAGTTCCATTTCTTCTTGGAAGATCTCAGATGTGAACTTCTGAGCAATTTTCACTTTTTAGTAGTGAAAATTGACACATCAGGATCTCTCTGGACCTCATGTGGCTTTATGTGCCTGAAAACACCTGTCCCTTTTTGGAGATAGGTTCAGCTGTATAGCCACAGACCCTTAAGTGGTGGGCACTCCCACCGCCCCCAATCCTTACCCATCTGGAGAACTTTTCAGCAACCCCTTCTCCATAGGATCACAGTGCAGTAGGAGGAACCGAATTTGACCACAGAAGGCCTCAATCCTACTTTCCCAAAGTAAATGAGATCTTCAAATTTCCTTTCTTTCTATGTACAAATTGCTCTGCACCTTCGCCTACTTTTTGTTCACTTACTCCTGAACTCATGTATCTTATTATCAAGATGACTTCCATCTTCCTTGGCAGGGCTTACCTATACTGCTGACCCTGGTGCTACCATTGACAACATCCTCCAGAACCTGCTCAATCATCTTTCATCCTCTCTTCATTTTCACTGAATCCTTCTCTTATGCTTACATACAAGCTCAGGTCTCCAATGAAAATATCATTAACAGCAACAAAAAAATTTCCATCAATCCCAACACCTCTCTCAAGCTCTTGAACCTTTCTGCCTTCCCTCTATCTCAAAATGACATAAAAGTGCCACCTGCCTATACCGCCTCACCAATACCATATTCCGATGCCCTTGGTCATCAGTATTCTTACCCTATCACTAACTAAAACTTACTTTCTTTCACATCTCTGTATTATTGGGTATTGTTAAGCATCCCAGCTCTTTCAGGAACCTGTCTCATCTCTAGGCTCTGTCCAGGCCATCTCCTGTCTCTCTGACCTGTCCTCCACATGCCCTTTAGACAGGATTTTCTTCTCCTCAGACATCAGCAACCCTTAAGTATCTGTCTTTCCCACACCTATTTCTTGCAGTAGCTAATAGCCACATGTGGCTATTACATTTAAATAAACTAAAATTAAATTAGCCAGTCACAAAAGACTACACATGGTGATTCCATTTTATGAAATATTCAAAATAGGCAAATCCACAGAAACAGAAAAAAGATGAGTGGCTGCCTAGGGCTGGGGAACTTGGAAAGTTGGGGAGAAATGGGGAGTGACTGCTATTGAGTAGTGGGTCTCTTCTTAAGGTAATAAAAATTGTGGTGATGCTTGTACAACTATTAATACACTAAAAATCATTGAACTATGCACTTTAAATAGGTGAATTGTATGGTATGTGAATTATATCTCAATAAAACTGTTATTTAAAAATTAAATTATCAATTCAGATCCACAGTCACACTAGCCACATGTCAAACATTCAAAAGCCACACCTGGCTAATGCTACTGTATTAGCCACAGGTACAGAACATCTCCATCATCACAGAAAGTTCTATTGTACAGCACTGGAGCTGGAAGACTGCTTTTTTTCTTCTCTTAGTCTTCCTAGCAGGGCTAACATGATATCTGAAGAATATTAGGCAATTAAGAAATGGTTGGCAAATGTTAAGGAATCAATCAAATGATTGTTTCCAGATAATAGAATTGTGGTGAAAATGAATCTCAAGTAAAACACTGTATAACAAGATTTTATTCTATTTACATTGTTGCTTATTTTGGCAAGGAATGCTATTAAGAAGATATCACGTTAACTATTTTAAACATTTTCCCTTGTCCACAAGGACAAAAATAAAGTTGGTGTCACAGATAAAGCATTATGTTTCTCAGACTACAGAAAGAGAATCTGCAACAGAGCTGCGAGTGAGGAACAAAGGATTTTGAGCTGAGACGTCTCATGAACTGCTGATAACTGGGAAGTTACATAGGTTGTTCATTTGCTTGCTTTTTGTGGGCAAAGTGAAGGGTGACGTGGGGATTGGATAGGTAAATGTAAAGTTACAACATGTTGTCCAATATAATGTAAAGGAAGTTTTTCAAACTTTTGGATCAGTGATATGTTTAAGTTTGCATTTTCTGGAGTGTTCATTTCTTTTTAATAAATGAAGAAATGCCAATTTCTTCCTTCAGCCTCCACCATATCATGAAATATATCTCTACCAATATAAAAATGAAAAATTTTCAAGCAGAGATAACTAGTCAATGATCATCAGAAAGTGAAGACTTAACAGCAGCTGAGCCACCAGAATATAATCAGACTAAAGAACACCAAAGAGATTTTGTAAGGATTAAGGTAAGATTATTATTAATTTTTTCAATTATTATTTGTTCTCTTTTATTATTGATACAGTACTTATTTAATAAATATATTTTAAATATGAGCTTTTTAAAAAATAACACACTATCACTATAGAAAATTGGTCAAGTACAAAAAAATAGGAGAAAAAAATTACCCATGATACCATTGCCCAAAAGAAATAACTTAATAAAACAAAATACTTCTTTCTAGTATCTTTGTATTCATTTTTACATAATTAATATCTTACTGTACATAAACTTCTAGCCTGCTTTTTTTCATTTAACATCCTATCACAAGCATTTTTTAATGTCACAATCATTTTTTAATGACCCAAAATATCTATTCCAAAATTTGCTTAAACATTCTCCATTAACTTAAGCTGGACGGTATTTTTGTTTTACTTTCAAATCAAACCCTATATCATACAGCTAATATCACAAATACAAAATTATTTAATTTCATAGTGAAACTCTGAAACAAAATGTCCAGCCTAAAGGAAAAGTGCAGGCCACATGAGATTTTATAGTAGGTGGACCTAATCTTGTCTTGTCTGGGGACTGTGAAGCCAGGAAAGATTCCCTAGAAAAGTGATCTCTGAGTTGAGACCTAAGAATTCATAGGCATTACTCAGGTAAAGAGCTGGGATAGGGACATCATTGCTGAGAACCTGTGGGGGGAGGAAGCAACACCCATGAGAGAATAGGAGGAAGTACAGACATGTGAGGCTGTGGAGACAGGAAGGGAGCCAGGTGAGGTCAAAGGCCATAGGAAATATGTTATTTATCATACAGCTAATGAGAAGTCACTAAAAGGACTTGAATGATCATGTCCACATTTGGAAAAGACCTCTCTGGCTTCAATGTAGAGAAATGATTGGAGGATAGGACTGGAAATAAGTAGGCCAATTAAGAGGCCGCTGTGAGGATCATGGCAAAAGATGATGGTGTCTTAGATGAGGGCCCTGATGATAGAGATGGAAGGAAACACATTCAAGAAATATTTAGATGGCAAAATCTACTGGAGATGCCAACGAATTGAATATGATAGTTGGGAGTTGAAGTCTGAGGGAGAGGAAAGTCGTGGATGACACTTGGATATCTAAGGAGCTTCTGAAATATTCCAGTGGAAATTTCACATGAGTAGGACTTGGGGACCAGATGAAAATCTGAGCCATAGATAAAAACTTCCAGAGAGTAAGATGAGGACTGAAGAATGCCCACAAGGTGGTCTTTCATTACTTCAGCAAGATGTGTCCTGGTGTCCTGATGAGAAGAGAAAGCATTTTTGAGTGGATCAAGTACTAAACAACAGTTAAGGAGATGCAGAGAGCACATGAAAACATCTGTGTGACAAGCGTAGCTGTGAAGGGGAGAAGCGAGCAAGGACACAGTTGCCGCTGTGTCGGTCTGGTGGTGGGAGGCTGAGGAATTCCCCCTGGATGCCTCTGCTTTCCTATAAAATAAGGGGTAAGGTCATCACCTGAGAGTAGATCAAGTACTAAACAACAGTTAAGGAGATGCAGAGAGCACATGAAAACATCTGTGTGACAAGAGTGGCTGTGAAGGGGAGAAGCGAGCAAGGACACAGGTGCCACTGTGTCGGTCTGGTGGTGGGAGGCTGAGGAATTCCCCCTGGATGCCTCTGCTTTCCTATAAAATAAGGGGTAAGGTCATCACCTGAGAGTAGGGTGGGGAGATATGAGATGAGAAGGCTGAAAAGAGTGGAGAAGTTCTGACTTATCACTGAAGAGAGTGGGAGAACGCAGTGACCAGATGAACACAACTGGAATGCTGGCATGTTAAGAGGCCAGTTGAGTGATTTTCCCCATCATCTCTCAGTTACCCAGACATATAATAAATGTATATTAACATTCACCAGGTTTAGGGTTTTGCCAGATGGATGTGGCAAAAAGATACAGGTGTAGGAAAATTAGAAAACTAGCCAGGATGTTATTAAGCAATGAGCCATGAACTATCTGAATAAAGGAAGAGGGTGGTAAAGATAGGAAGAAGTTATAAATGGGGCAAAGGAAGAGGTGTCAGTAGATCAGAAGTCCTGATGAAGTCTAAGAATAGTCATGATGGGAGAATGTGAACAGGCAAAGTGGAAGAAGAGGAGACAAGGCCTGGTCAGAATGTAAAATGCTTCCTTCAGTGATTTTATGAGTGAAGTGATTTCAAGTTAGGACTAGAGCCACTGTGTGAAGTGCATAAGGTAGTTGCTGATACGAGGTAGGGAGTCAACATTCGAGTATATCATG